CAGCAGGAAGAAAAGAGAAACAAGTAGGTGCATTGTTATGCACCTAATTATGCGCAGTTAATGCACAGTTGGGAGTCAATTTATTGTAAGCTACAATGCCTAAGTGTTCGGAGGAAATTGTTCAGACATTAGAAAATAATTTTTTTAAGGAATAATATTAAAATGGATCCTTCCTTATCTGTTGTTTGAGACATTCCATAGGGAAGTTGAGGGAGGGAGCTAGGTGGGAAGAGACAAGGCACACTTCTAATATTCAGAATGTGAGTTGGAGTGACCACAAAGTTGACCATTGTATCCTGGTAAATGGAGGCTAAATCTTACACCTTTAGAGGAAATAACAGAATGATTTTGCTGACAAGGTGGTGCTTCTTGAACTTCATTCCCTTTTTGTCTTTTAATAAGTCTTTATAAACCAGCTGATCTGGAAGAAACTGAATGAGGGCACTGCTTCCCCAGGCACACGTGCACACATGCACACCTACCCACACCCTAGCTCACATCCAGATCCCAGCAGCTTGTCTACATTCTCTGCCTAAAAATAACAGAATATAAGCAACAGCCTGAACGTTGTCCTCAGAAGCATAGTTTCGATGGCTTTCATGAAGGACCATTCCCATCCCTTGCCACTAGAACCCTTTGCCAAAAGGGAGCGCTCCGGGTGTTTTACAGTCTTCTTGGGAAGCTGAGGGTGCCGGTGGAACAGCACTCCAGCTCTCTGTGTGGTCCCAGCACCGGGACTGCCCATCAGCAGCAGCCTCGGTGTATCTGTTCCCTTTACCAGTGTTCATCCAAAGGGTGATTCAGGTAATCATTGCACAACTCCGTCTTTGCTAGGAGCCCGCTGATAGAAAGCACTGTATGTGCCCCCGGGGGGCTTGCCCACTGGGATCCTTTAACAAGAATGGAAGGAAACTAAGGAAAAACAGTAGGATCACTGAAGGTGATGTATTTCTGGTGTGTGCATGCCTGGTTTTTAAATCTAACTATATACATACGTATTAAAAAGTCATGACATTACATTTTGCAATTTTACATGGAGAAAATTCTTGGAATTCAGTCTCTAGCATTATCAATTCCTGTTTTCAGTCACCAGATGCTTCACTGGGGTTTTGTTCAGACCTACCAAGCCCTGGTTAGCACCAAGCACGGGCAGAGCACTCCCCAGCCTCCTGCACCTTCACAGGCCCCACGTCTCTCACCTTTGCTCAGGTAGCAGAAATGACACAGCCCACCCTCCTCGCCTGGCTTTGTTTATAGTCTTTTCTGGCAAATGTTTAGTTTCAGTTGGGCAGTGGCAGAAAAGGGGGTTTGGTTGTGTTGTTAATTTTTTTAGTCACAGTGCTTCTGGGCTGATTTGGAAAAATACTGTCTTCCTCTCTCGGCCCCGCTCCAGCTGCCTGTCTCATGAATAGATGATCTGTTGAGAGAAATGCCTTATCAGATTTTCTCTGCATCTACACTCTCCCTTTTCAAAACTCATCCGTTTTGCTACCTTATCCATCTGGATTGTTTGATTGAAAACTTACTTTCAGCAGGGTAATTTGGTATTTGAAGTTTTTCATTAGCGGGACCGAATCATGCCAGAATGCTCACAGAAACACCAGTCCGCTGTAAGATCCCAGCTAAAATGCATCACACTCCCATTGCATGTATCTGAAAGTGATAAAGGAAAAAAAATCAGTTAGGGGCCGTGCGGAATGTTAAATAAGGATACTCAGTGTTATAACAGTTGTGGGTCATTTCTAAATAAAAGGTAGTGGGAAGTTTGTATAGAAAAGCCTCCTGTCTGTACGCAGTTTTGTATGTCAGCTGCTTGTCTGTGCACACAGAGAGCATCCCTGTGTCTGCATCTGTGTTCCTGTTGAGTCTGCTGACAGTTGTCCTCTGCCGACAGCAGTGAGCGGAGTCCGCCACTGCTCTTTGTGGGTTTTACACTTCATTTCTTTGAATTTGTTTTTAAATTTCCACTCGCACCTTTCAAGAAGGAATAGCAAATTGTTCTAGAAAACAGACATGACAGACTAAAAGGGTTAGTTATACACAGGTAGAAGGTGTTTTTGCAAAGAGATGGTAAGGAAAGTTTGTTGACAATACCTATGTGACCAAGAAGGTTAAATTCCACTTCAAAATTGACAGGATATTTGGGACATTTTTCCAATCAAGTGCCAGTGGAAAGGCATTGTGGTGTTTCAGAGGATGTGATCCAGAGCCGTGAGCTGTCTCTTCTGCAATGGAAGTGCTCTTCATGATTTTGGTTGCAGATTGCAGAGATGTTGCAATTGAAGCCGCATTTCTTCATAAACTTACATTGTCCTGATGCATTTTGTTTGCATTTTTTTAAAAGGCTGGGATGCCATCATGGATTGGAAAGATGTCCTATCAGGAGGAGAAAAACAGAGGATGGGCATGGCTCGGATGTTTTACCATAAGTAAGCATTTTGATTTGTTCTTTAAGCAGCATCTGAAAATGCGGTAAAGTTTTGCAGGTTTGCTGTAATAGTTTGAGCAGTAGTGGACTATAATCTCCATGCAATATGCAGTACTGCTAAATGGTTGCATAGGACCACAGACCTTGCTTCTTACTTAAGTTTTGCTTTCGGCAACATAGCATTACATTTTCCAGATGTTCCTCTCTTTAACATCTCAGTCACAAGCATCTTCCCTGCATCTGTCCTACAAATATTGCAGAAGTCTGGTGGACCGTTGCAGAGGCTATGGGAGTTTGAAAGCCAAGCTCCCAAACTTTTTGGGTTTGAAGACTGCAAGCACATAAAGGCAGCCCAAGCCATGCATAGCACTGGATAGAAAGTTTCTGAGCTGGCCGTAGGTACTGCATGATTTGATGACAGGACAGAATAATACTAGGTCAAACTAGAACATAGAAGTTAGATCACTGTGTACTCAGATGGACCAGGAAATAAAACCCATTTTTCCTGGAACCTGGCTCTGCACTTGAATAATGCATGTAAACTTTATGTTGCTGCTAGCCAGCTTCCAGCTGTAGATGAGAGACAGCTGTCTGGCAAAAATAACTCTCTCCTTTCTGTTGTTTTCAATTAAACATCATACATGGGAATACTGTCCAAAACATAGAAGAGTAATGTTCTCTATCTGCTTTTGAAAGGCCGAAATACGCATTGCTGGATGAATGCACAAGTGCTGTAAGCATTGATGTTGAAGGAAAGATCTTCCAAGCTGCAAAAGCTGCTGGGATATCCCTGCTTTCTATAACACACAGACCTTCTCTTTGGTAAGTATGTTCAGGGTTTGTCATGGTCCTTCCTTTTAGCTTTCTGACAGGCAGTGGATTGGCCTTTATTCTTCCTACTAGGGCGGTTGTTTAATCAATATCTACTGCACTTTCTAAGATAACTTGTCTCCAATAATAGTGATATAAATGCATTTAGCATTGATTTTTTCCATTCTTTGACATGTATTTATTCCTCCCTCTTATTTTTTTACATGTGTTTCAGTTATCATTAACTATTTATAGCAACATGCGAGTATCTAAGAGGCAGTTAATCAGTCCAACACACCACAGCCACAACAGATATCACCAGATTATTCTGTAAAGGTGTCAAGATACATGAGCCGTCCTGGGGAAGTTTACCAGTGAAGGGAGATGATGGGAAACATGGCAAGTGGTTAAACTACTCTCTGTTCTTCCATAGGAGTAATACATCTGGTGTTTTAACTTCAGTTGTGTCCTCCATCTGCAGGGTTTGTGAGCTTTCAAAATTTGATTGGCTATTAAAAAAGAAATATTGGAATTCTGAGAAACATCATGCAAGTGAGGGAGTACTAAGTATGGCAGAGTTCCTCAAAGGAAATAAATGTAGTTACTGAATACAGAAAACAACCAAATACTTTAAAGGGCAAAAGGAGATCAAGGTGTAAGCTAACATTAGCAGAGACTATTTGTTCTGAACTCCTTGATCTCTACTGTCAGGTTGTTTGCTTTTTTTAAACCGATGACAAAAAATCCATTACCAGTCTGTTGCCTCAAAGGAAAGAAATTGTATCAGTGTCTGCTTTACTGAAAAAGAATGATTTCCCCAGCATTCCTCCTTCCTCCCTGGAGATGGTGACAGTGGAAATGGCTTTTGTTCGATCAGGATGTAAATGTTAAGAAAAAAATGGGTATTCTGATAGGAAAAAAAATGTCACATAGACATTTGTTTTTAAGATAATTTAAATTACACTTAAAAAGAAAAGTAGCGTTCACCTTTTTTAAAGTTTGGCGTTATTTTAAAATCACTTCTCAAGAAAACAGGTATTTGAGAGCATCTCGCCTATAAATAATGATGAAGCAGAGGGAAGTTATGCAAAAGAACTTGTGAGAAAGGTCCTTTGAGTTCAGTTTCCTACTGACATTTCTTGTTTCCTAGTACTAGTGCTATTTGGGAAGGTTTGGGATTGTTCTTGTAATCTCCACAGTATTACTGAAATTATCAGAAATCTGGCAATTTGTGGGGTTCTAGAGAAAGAAAACAAGTGCTGAGTATTTAGAAATAAGCATCAAATGCCTTTAGCTTAGGTATGCTTCCACAGGGACTGCACTGCATAGACAAAAACTGGGTTCACATGCTGTTTTTTCTTCCTCAAGATTATACTAGGAAATGTTTGCTCTTTTAATCAAAATACCAGCTACTTTCCTAGACCACAAACATTGGACATCTCAATCAGCTATCTTAGCTTCCTGATTTTTTTCATTTTTGGTGGTGGAAAAATAGAGAGATAGGTTAAGCATTTGGTGTCACAAAGAATATATGCGAGAAATGGTGAGTATAAGCCTGGAGTTGAATCTCTTTTGAGTCCCATGTCATAAGCTGTTGAGTTTATTAAACTGTCACATTCCCTGGATGGGATTTATAATCACTGCTTTGTGATGCGTCTCATCTTCTATAATTTATAGTAATAAATTACACAGTCATAACAGCAGCTCTGAGGGAACTCTTTGCTCTTCCTCTTGCACCTCCTGATAAATGTCTTGTCAGGTCTTGACAAACTCCACATGTACACCTTTGAATATTTTGGTGCACACACCCTGATACTCACTGAAAGATCTGTGACTCCTACGCAGACTTTTTTATTTTGGCCCCTTGCAAACTGAACCATGTTTTTGGACTGGAGGTTTCTTCAGCCAACCTTATAAGATGTGGGGGAACAAACTGAAGTGTAATTTGAACAAACTAGAGTTTTATCAGTAGCATCAGGTATACCATGCCTGTCTGAATGTATTTTCTGCTAAATAGGTAAAATGTCTCTCAGAAAGCGAGACAAATAAAATAAACTGAGACTAGTATTCATGGGGGAGAAGGGAGTCTTGTCTGCTGCTGCTGTTCAAGCTCCTGGAGAAAAAGGAGTCTGGTGGAGTTGCAGTGAAGGCAATTGTAGCCACAGACAATGTTTTTAAGAGGGAGGCAGAAAGAAAGATGCCACCACCTTGGCCAGGGACAGCAGGTGATGAGGGGACCCTCCACAGCCTTGCTGCCTGCTCCTGCCAGTATCACTGCAGGTGAGGGCCTCGGCAAGCTGGGCCGCACGGGCTGCTGGAGGCAATGACCACCCCAGCTGGGGAGCCCACGCCTGCGCTGACAGCTTGCAGCTGGCACCTTGCTGCTGAATTTCACTAGGTGGCCTAGGGAGGTTCTGGTGAGAGGCTTTGAAATATCAAAATGGGTGTCCTGGGATTATAAGTCACTGAGAAAAGGTCTTTCCCAATGATCCAAAACAGGACAACTCTCAACTTCCTGAGAGGCACCACTGAAAAGAGATACAGACTTCCAAATTTGTGTGCAAAGATGAACCATCTGTTCCCTGAGCCATTACTAATGCTTTGATTTCTACTGCAGGAAGTACCACACTCACTTGCTGCAGTTTGACGGGCAAGGTGGCTGGCGTTTCGAGCAGTTGGACACCGCTATCCGTTTATCACTGAGTGAGGAAAAACAGAGACTGGAATCCCAGCTTGCAGGAATTCCTAAAATGCAGCAGAGACTGAATGAACTGTGTAAAATCTTGGGAGAAGACTCAGTGCTTAAAACAATGGACACAGAGGAATAAATAATTTATGGTTTATGTTTTTAAAAGTATTTTTTTAGTTGAAAGCATTACAAATTCAGCCATTATCCTTTGCATGCATTGTGATAGAGGCTTAGAGCATAGAGAAGCACAGCCAGCAGAAAATAATGCTCTGAATGCTATGTAAGACTTTAGCATTTTAGTACTAAGGAAGAAAGTGGTCGAACTGTGAAAAGAAAATAAGCAAGTGCATAGAGTATAAGATTAGGCTTTGCAGCTTATGTTAATTTCTAGTGAAAGCCCAATTCACTGCAAAAAACTACCAACACATTTAGGTTTTGTAGGTGAATTTTTGCCTGAGACTTGGCCGGCAGAATGTGCTCTTGTACCAGGACACTGTGCGTATGATATGCCTGCTACGCAGAGCAAACCTGGCATGAAACTCAGGCATGGAGCACGGCAGAGGCAGCATCTGGGTGAGTATGCAGATGTATGCAAAAATCTCATCTGGGTATAAGAACCATTCTTTTAGCCCATGTAAAACCAAACTCCTGTTCTACTACTGAATCGCATACACACCTTTACCTGCATTTCCATAGGAAATAATGTAATAGGCTGACCAGAAGGCAACTGTCCGAGCAACCCACTGCCTTCGCAACAGAGAAGCGGGGATAGAGCTAAATATGTAAGATACTTGTGCTGTACTTTATGCCATTATGCATAGCTTCAGAGGCTCTTTGCCCTTCATGATACATCAGTTCCTTTGGGGGATTATTTATGTCCCCTATTTAGTAACCTTGGGGGCGGGTGGGGGGATGGAGCACTGGGCCTGGCATCAAGTGACTTAGTTTTTGCTTGACTAAGTCATTCATCTGCTCCATGATCTGTGAAAGTTAGAGCATTTTGTAACCACTAATTAATATACCTGCCATATTTTGGTAGAGTGGCTGAACACTGCCCTCCCCGTGAGCAAACGCACCAGATAACAGCTTTGCTTTCTGATGCACTCACTGATTGTCCCATCTGCTTTTCCGTTCAGTAGGAACCTGGTCCCCAGTCAGCCAGAAAGTGCTTTAAACACAAACCCCTGAGACAGTGCTGGCCTGAGTGCCTTGCCAGAGGCAAAACCCGGTGAATTAGAAATAAAGATGTGAATTGATTTAAGAGCTCCTGATCTGCTCCCTCTGACTGCAAGTGCACAGCAAATGGGCAGCTTGGGAGTGAAGATCAGGAGGGGTAAGAGGCTTTGCAGATGGGTAAATGAGCCTTAGCCGAGATGCAGCAGTCCTGAAGTTTGTTGGTTCTTCTTCTTCCTAGAAGCGTGATTCCTTACAAGATTTCTGTCTGGTGGGCCTAGTCTGAGAGGGGCAATGCACAAGCTGTTAAGAGAGAAGTATTTTATGGGTATTTGCAGAGCTGGAAAGGTTTGAGCACCCTGAAGTTAATATAAACTATTTCCCTTTTCTGACACTTCAGGAACAAGGGGAAGATGAATTAATTCCATCTGCCAAATCCCAGTCCAGTGTGCTAACCATTAGCCCATCTCCCTTCTCACTGTGTGCTCGTCTTGCTGCTTGATATGGAGCTTGCACCAGAAAATGGAGTAAGTTCGCTCCCTGTCCTGCTCCTCCAGAGTCTGTAGCTTGACCCTGTAACTTGTCCTGGTGACAAGTTTGTTCCTCTCATTAGTTTTCTCTGTAGAGTCCCCTGGGACATCTCACTGACACAGAAAGGAATGCTCTTGGGAACCTTTGAAAGGGATGAGAAATTAAGGTTCAAGATAATAAGGTGTTGTGTTGTAAAGTGCAGACTGGAGGTCACTGCTGTGGTGGATGACATGTGCATGCATTTTAATTTGCAAGTGTCTCTGCTTGTCCCACTCCCCGAAGGCTAGCTTTCCTCCTTCTCATCTTCAGAGAAAAATTCGGAACTGCTAAGGAAAAAAAGAAGTCAGCCAAGAATCTGTTCTCGGTGAGCTTAAATGAGATGACTGATGATCTTAAAGGCTTGCACATTTCTGAGTTATGTTTCTCTAAGATGGTGATGAATCAGGCACGCACCAAATCCGTGCCCTTGTCCCAGCTGCAGCGTATCCTTCTGCCAGCACAAAGCAGCCACAAAGCCGCCTTCCCACAAGCCTCTCCCAACAGAAGCTGAGGTGGAGGAAGGGACATTTGTGTTCCCCATCCCTCCGTTGCGCACTTTATCATGTGGCTGGGAGCTAAACCAGGGTTGTGCACTCCCTGAACGAGCAGGACACTGAAAAGTGCTGAACAATTGGCCTGGTTCAGCACAGCTCCAGGTGTGGCCTTGCACGCTCCCAGCCTCCCATCAAAGCTCTGCCACGGCGCTTGACTTGTTAGGAGCCAGTATGGGCAAGTGCAGCACCTGAAATCTGCTGTACCGCCTCGCAGAGATCGAAGGTGGCCATCTCGCACGGCACAACAGAAACACATCTGTGTTTAGAAGAAGAACGTTTGTTTGCTGGTTTTTAAAATGAGATTATGCATAAAACGTACAAAAGATACATACATTACTGATGAAATTTTAATGAAAACTGGAATCACACCAGGATCAATGTAATAGTATTTTCCTTGAAGTTTGATACCTATTTCTTGGGTCCAGTAACAGCTTAACCATTCCCATTCAGTAGGGTGGTGTAAAATACCCTAGCATCTCACTCAGCTGTTTACATTCTTGTAGGCCTGACAAGAACATTAGAGGCTGGTATGAGAAGAAATCCTTCTCTAAATAGGAACTTCCTGAGTAATACCGAAGGATTTTCTGTACTGGTGGCTCCTTATTTTTAAAGTTAGTTTTGTGGCTGGAAGAGAAGCTGCTGGAAGATTTTCTCTGCAAACTTTCCGAGTTGTTCCAAGGGCTAATTGAGACAGGAATCCCCGGTTCTGTTTCTAGGGAGTTTTACCTCTGGTGTAATACAGGGCATAAGTCAGCTCATTTTGGGCTGCTCGGACCCAGCTGGGAACGCACGAGCAGAGGCGCACGCTCCCTGCTTGGGGAATAGCTCAGGAAGATGCTGTTCCGGAGCGAGGCACGGGAAGCACTTGGCCCTTGCAGTGCGGGAGGGTCAGAGCAGGGCAGGATGCCTCCATGGAATCCTTTTTCGTGGTGCAGCGAGAGCTGCTTATCAATGTTCGTTCCCTTTCTGGCGATCAGGAGCTGTGACTTCCCAGGAGGCCAAGGAAGTGACTTTCTGGCCTTCCTGCTGCCTGTCGAGTCTAGCTGGAGCCAGCCAGGTTCAGGTCGTTCTGTCGTGGCATTATGCATTTCGGGGCTGGACACTGCAGAGTGCTCGGTGCATCCAGCCTCCCGTGAGTACCCTCCCACCCCCCAGGGCTCAGGGCAGACTTGCCCGGGTCTACATCCCAGAGTACAGGTGCTGAGCAAAAGTCATACCCGTCTCAGGCATGGAATAACTGTGCAATAAAAATATGAATTATCCACATCAGTTTGTTCAGATAATGCTGGGATTTTTTGCAAGAATCTTCAGAATGGGAGGACGCGGTTTTTGTGCATGGGATTTCAGTATTTTAACCTAGGAGGAGTTTATTTTTCACTTAGTTTTGGGACCAGACTCATTCCTGGTTTAGACATGGAAGCCCTCCTTCTGCAGGGTTAGGAAACCCCACATATCTTTTAAAGGAGTTTTTTGAAACCAGTGGGATTTGAATTTGAGTGAGGAATGAAGGAATAGGTATTCAGTGGGGTGGTTTAGGGAAAATTGGAATAAAAATTATATCCTAAAGCAAATGAACACATCCACAGTCCCCTCAATATGCCTGAATGATGATAATGCATGTCAAAGTCAAGTTTACGAGCCTGTGATCAGAGATTTCAATCGTGTATAGAATGAAATCCCCCTACTGAGCTGTTCATGAAGCTTAAGAGAACTGAACTGCTAATCAAATGTGTCTTTGTTTCGTTTATGTTTGATATTAATGCCTTTTAAGAGCAGACAATTTATAAAGCAATAAATTATGCTTTACAGTTGTAATTTATTCCAACCTCAAATAAAACGTTGCATTTACTTTGAGTTTATGGCGTTCCTTATGAATCACTCACAAAGCAGCCAGGACCCACCTGCAAGTGCTCTGGGAGCCCCTTCCCACCCCTCGTTTCTGTAGGAAAGCTCGGGATGGATGTTGCTTGTTTGCAAGTTAAAACAAGCGTTTCATTCCTAGCTCAGGCTGGTGTCAAAGGCTGCCATGAGGTTTCTCTTGTCTCACACCCATCCGCTTCAGCGTGGACCTGATTTGTGACAGGAAGGTGCCAGAGCTGCCCCCACTTGCTGGGGAGTTCTGCAGGGAGGCTGGGCACCGAGCAGTGCCCCAGGGGACGGTGTCAGCAGCGCAGCATCCTCAGCAGCGTCACTCCCAAATGGCCTTTTGTAAGATAAAGTTATGCATAAAACATCAATGTCACAAATATTACAAGCAATTGCTCATGCTGGCCTAGGAAAGGAGGGTTTTTTTTTCCTTAGAGATTAAGATAAAACATACAGTCTCTTTAGCCCTTCAGGCTACCAGGAGAGGAGTATGAGGGCATCAGTTGACTCCTTAAGCTTGTGTCTAGCCCCTTCCCAGCTGCATGGCAAGGGATGGTGAAGTTCTGTGTGGTGGTACAGGGCCTGGATTGTGCAGTTGAGGAGCCCATGGTGATGGTGATTGCTTGAGAACCAGATCCTTATGGGTGGCTGAAGGCCTGTCCCCCTGCCTCCCTTCCAGCTACTGCACCCACTCAGGGGGAGAGCACCAACAGAGAGCAAAGTCCAGGAAAAAAGCCATGAGAAACACATTTTTGGGGGTCTTTGGGGGGCTGTAGGACCACGCTGGGGCTCATGCATCAGGCCGGGAGGAGACAGGGTATATGGTAGTGGGGGAGGCGAGCTGAGAGCTGTGAGGTTGCAATTGAGTTTCGCTTATTTTGGTAAGACGTGCTTTGGTGTCTGCTCTTTGGAGAGCGTTCCTGCTTTCTGGTCAGGCCACCAGAGGACCGGCACCATGTGTTGGCTGTGAAGTGCTGGAGCCCTGAGCCTCTGCCCAAGGGCTAAGTATTCCCAGAAGAGACGGGACAGCAAGGCTCACGTCACGGGAGCAAAAAGGACTCAGGAAATATGCAGAGCAGAGGTGCTCAAAGGCTTCCCACAGGTGAGATTTTCTAGTAAGTGGGGTATATCTGGAAGAACACCTTACGCTGTCTCTATGGCCTTATTTCTGATTACGGCTTATTCTGCAGCACCCGCTTTGTACTTCTTAAATTAGTGTCTTTAACCTCATGTAACCATCTATGAGAGGGTAACCGTGATGTGCTAAAAATACTGCACCCACCCAGTGCAAGTTTGATGTGTATGAACAATTGGGTTTTAAATTTATTTATTTAATTAATTAATTTGTGAAATTAAAAAAAGAGAGAAAGATTGTGGTGGTGGCTGATGCAGGGCTGGGGAGCCAGCGGGGTCCTGGGGCTGAGCCCCCAGTGAGAAACCAGGCTGGGATGAGGTCTGAGAAAAAACAGTCCAAGAGAGGCCATGGGAGGAGCCAGGCCTTGGAAAAAGGGAATAATGAAACCTGTCTTGGGCATAAAATAATTATGCAATAGCACATTACTTTCCTTCTGTTGTCGTCAAACATATGGAGACAAGCTGGCCCTGACACAGCATTTGTAGGATAACACAAACAACGAGAGAAACAAAAACATTCATTTATTGATCAATTTTAGCATGAAAGTTGTCATAAAAGTTATTTAGATTGAAATGTCTTTGAAAGAGAGTTTATATTTGTTGTGGTTTAGAGCTGCATTTCAAATAGATTCATAATGCATTTCATAAAGGTTCGGGTCTTTGGGAAGCAGAAATTGTTCTTATCATAAATGATAAGCAATATATTGAAGCAAACCCAACCTATTTAATATTTAAAGCAACCAAAAAAATTGCACTCAGTAATTCTAATATTCTTGTCCTCTGCATCTCAGTTAAAATGTTCTTTTCTTCAATTACAGCCACACTGTGCTATAAATACATGAAATTTATGAGAGACTTCTCTATCAGTTGGTGTTTCCTGTGCCAGTGTGTTTGGAGATCTCTATCTTTATTATACGGGTTGCACGAAGTCTCCCTTCCTTTTGGCCGCTTTCTGTCCCCGCTGGGGTGGGTGCAGCGCTGAGGTATCTGGGTGCTGGTGCCCGAGGAGGGCACTGCATAAACCTGCGGGTGAGCAGGAGAAGTCCTTGTGCATCTCATGGCCAGACCTCACAAATGTTTTTTGTAGGGAGTCAGCAAACACCTACAGGAAAAGCCTTAAGAGAGAATGTCCACACAACTAAAATGATCCGTAGCTAACAAGGTACTACTGCGAGGTACTAAAGTGTAACATCTCGTAGTGATAAAGCTGGGTTTTGCTAGATGTATGCTCATAAAAATAGGACATCTCACACTGAGCAAACACATCCCAGTATCAGTTTATGCCTGCAGTGCCAGGGTGGTTTAAAAGTCATACAGCTCATACTCCTGAAAAACAAATAATCCTCTTTTAATCCCAGCAAGTGGTCATCAGAAGCCCACAATTGCCTTTCATTATGTCCTCTGGAGTGTTTCTAGGTAACCCATAAATATAATCAATTCTTAAATAACAACATGCCTTGTCTGAGCTCTGCTATTCGATCAAAAAGATTGAAAGAGATGCGGAAGTAGAAGTAGACAAATTCAGGCTCGAATGAAGCCAGGACAGGTTTTGCTTCTGATGGGTGCTGGGGTGCTCCAGCAGAAAGTGCCTGCTTGGCACAGGGCGTTGTTCGATGGCATCTATGGCTTGTGTTAGGCGATGCCAAAACAGCCCCTCCTGGCCGGCGGGTAATTTTGAAAGCGGGAACTCTGGTGTTGTGGGAATCAACGGGGCTGCAGCGCCTCGTGCTTTCATGGGCAACTCAGCCAGCACTCTGAATGCCTCTGCAGAGAAAAGCTGCTTGTGAGTCTGGGAGGAAAGGCCTGAAGACCCGGAGCCATGAAGGACGAGTCTCTCCAGCTCTTCTCCTGCGCTCGTAGGTGGGCAGGTGCAGACAGACCCAAGCTGCCCTGCCCGGCACCCCTGCAAGCATGTTTAGCCAGCATTGCCCACCTCGAACAGGCACTTCTTCACCCAGGAGCTGCCCTGCATTTCCCAGTGCCGGGCTGAACACGATGCCGGGCTGCACTAAATGCAGCGCTGGGCTGCCTCCAGATCAGGGCAGGCTCCTGTCATGCCAGCCCGGAGCGTGGGCAGAGGACCTCTGCTGTCTGCATCCACCTGCCCAAACAGGTCTTAAACTGGCCATAATCTGGGTTTGTGCTCTAATCCCATCTGACCGCCATGACCTTTTCCGACCTTTTTGGATTTCTTGTGGGCGGAGGCAGAAGAGGCACGGCCGCACGCAGAATGAGGTGTGTGTGAGCAGAAGCTGTTTGCTTTCTTGCACTCGAAGCTGAGTCCGCATCCACAGCGGGCTCGGGTGGGGGCGAGAACACAGCTCTGCCGTGTGCTGTGAAAACCTTACGGTCTCTGAGTTTCACCACAAATGCACTTCATCAGCCTGCAAGAATATGTAAGAGCTGGGAGAGCTCTTTGTCACCTCCGTCTTGCTTCATTTACCTCAATCAGTTTCTCCTGCAGTTGGCTGAGCACCAGATTCCGGCACAAATACACAAGCTTTTGTGCAGTTTTACAGGCTCAGATTTCCTGTTCCACGTGTAGTGCTAAGCCGCAGGAATCCTGTTTGGAAAGTGCTGCTAAAACTCCAGTCTTTCTGGCAGGAAAGAAAGGCGATGCCGAGCTGAACACCGCGTTGAGTAGTGGAGCCAAATTTATTGCCGGTGAAACGCAGGGCATGTGGGGGAAGCTAAACAAAACAACTGTTTGGTCCATGAAGCCGAGAGTCACCAGGCACCTCTACCTGTTCTTAAAAGGTTTCCTTAGTGACGCTGATTAGGTTGTTAGAGAGGAACTTGCAAGAACCCACATTACTGCTGAGTTTGCAGACTCCTATCAGCACAGCATTGCCAAGGTTTGCTCCCGAGCCAGGCTTGCTCCCTTCGCAGGATAGCTAGGGTGATTTTATTGGCAAGCATCTCCTGTAAAGATCGCCGATAGCGAGTGCATTCTGATGATGACACATGCATCTCCTTTTGCTGTTAGCGGGCTAAGAAATTGCCCTTTCTTTCAGGCACAACACATAAAATAGCGACTGCATTCATGACCCTTAACATTACAAAGGTACTTAGGGGTTTGTTTTGTATGAATGTAATTTTAAGGTGCTCAGCAGCTCTTGGGAATGACTGACTACACAATACACCGTGGAATATGTAATTGGTGAGAGCTGAAGTCAAAACTAGTCACAGATCCTAAATTCCTTCCCAAATTCTTTTCCCCATTGTTTGCATGCTGCATTATTTAATTGGAGCAGATCTGCATCCTGATCGGCACTGCTATGGGCAGGGCTCCATAGCCACAGCATTTCCCAAGAGTTTCATGACTTTCTCTCTGCCAGGCTGACGTTTTACTAGCCAAATACTCATCTGCCACGCTTAGGAAGCCTTCAGTGAAGGTGATGTAAGCTCTGCAGGTGTGGATGAAAGCTGAATTGAATTTGACCTTTAGTTACGCCTTGTTGTGTAGGACTGACATGACTGATAAGCTGAGGGAGGAAAATACTGGGGTAAAAAGGAAACACATCTGTGTTTCCTTCCAGTCAGTTCCAGTGGTCGAACTGGTGCTGACTGCCTTTACAGAAACCAGCTGTAGTAGGCTGGGAAGGGCTCTCACATCGCCTAGGGCATGGCTTTGATCAAACAGCCTCAGCTTGCCTCTCACAAAGCTTTCTTCGTGCGCCTGATATGGGATCCTGCCTTAGATAATGAATCATGATGCATTTAAAAGAAATTAAAGGATTCACAGCAAACTCCACCTCTAATCCACACGAGCACCTTGATCATTCCTCCTGTGTGGGGTGCAGCAGGGCAGCGACAACCC